AGAGGTTAGAAAATTGATGAGCAAATTTTCCTCTCTCTCTAGAATCCTCTCTCTCTTCTTGTTTTATGTTTGAAAGTAAGCTTTCTCTACACATTTGCACTAAGACCCTTGACCAAACACCTTCACCTTGGAGCTGAGGTTCTTGGAGGCCTTGTTTGAGCTTCCAAAAGTGGTTTTTAGCTCAAAACTTTTGCTGTTTGTTGCTGTGCTTCAAGGGTAAGGACTTGTCCCTTTTAAGCTTTGCTTTAGTTCATTGCTTGGTCATCTTTACATGCTACTTTGAGGCTAGTTTTAAACTCCAAAAAACTCTATTTTTAAGGTTTTAAAATGGTGGTTTGAGCCTTGTTTAGTTAGGGGTTGGTTTCCTCCCTTTGCTCTTTGGCTTGTAAAGCCTTTTGAGCCATCTTTCAAAGCTTTTGAAACACCCTTTTCTTGGCCTTTTGACCACTGAATTCCAGGGAAATTTTAGTGGTAAAAAGTTGGTTTTGAGGTCCAAAATAGGAGGGGGTGGCCTCTCCTGCTTGTGTCTTGTTTGCATGTATAGTTGGCCTAGCATGTGAGCATGTTTTTCTACCTCCTTATGACTTGATCTCTGCATATTTTAGTCACTGATTTAGCATGCTTTAACTTTGTTTTTGGTGGTCTTGGTCATATGAGCTTAGTCTTGCATGGTTGTAGTGTAATTAGCTTCACTAGCATTGTGTTTTAAGGTCTCTAACATGCTTTTTTTGAGTTGTTTGCATGATATATCATCATTTAGCATGTGATTTCAGTGCATATATCACTATCACACTCTCACATATATCACTCTTTTATTACTTTTGAGAGTTGTGCTTTGTGTCTTGCTTGCGAGCCAACATGTGCACATGATTTTCTTGCCTTTTTTGCCTAAATTTCAGCATGTTTTAGCCACTGATTTGGCATGTTTAAGCTCTGTCCAGAGCTGGTTTGGTCATTTAAGCTTGGTATTGCATGCCTCTAGTGTAGTGCTCTTCACTAGCTTTAATGCTTTTGGCTTTTGGCTTTTACCATGTTGTGCACGTGTTGCTTGCATGTTTTAGCATTATTTCTCATGCCATTTCAGCACTAAAAAAGTCTACAACCTCCCTCATTTCTTCATTTTTCTATTTGTTTTGAGGGTTAGATGACCTTATGCTTGTGTTTAAGCTTGAGATAGAGCTTGTGCTCAATGGCTTTAACTCTCTTTTGAGGGTTCCTCCTAGCCAAAGGCATGATCTCTCTCATGTCTTAAGCCATCCTTTGGTTGACTCCTCTCTCATTAGAGGACTTTCACATTGGAGTTAACCAACTTAAAAATGGCTTGGTAATGCTAAAATGTGTAAAAAAAATTGGATCAAGTAAAACATGACTAAGATAAGCATGTTGTTTGCATTGCATGTGTTTGGATCGGACGTTAATCCAAACACAAGAAATGTGGGACGTTTCATACTCAAAGTGATGAAACGTGTCACATTTCTTGGTCGCCGTCATCCTTGATCATGCGTGATAGGATGATGGCCATTTAAGTCTTATGTGCGCATTTATTAAGCTTGTACAACCTTGGTTCTTTGGCCATCATGCATGAAAATGCTTGATTGGTGGCTTGAGAGCCAAGTGTCATACTTCTTTGAGCTTGAGACGTGATAAGGAGGTGGCAGTACATACATTTCCTTGCAAATACATTGCTTTGCCTCTGTTGCTCTCTATTGCAACAAAACCAGAAGCCTGGAAAAAGTAGTGGCCGACCGGCCAGTTAAGGTGGCCGAAAGCCACCTTCTGTGGCCGACCGGCCACCAATCCATTTTTGTGCAAAGTGTTCCTGTTTTGGAGCAGAGGCAGTCTAGAATATTGGTACAATGTTCAGAGATCAAGGCGAGTGCAAACAGTGGCAACCGGTGGCAAGGCGATGAATTTTCGGGAGGAAGCCAAACGAGCATGCATGTCTCCCTCGCCCGCCAAGCCACTTTATTGCTTTTATTAGCTAGTTGTAGTATTACGTGTGTTGTAATTAATCATTCAATTCATTTTGTCATATTTTACTTAGCTTCGTATAGCTAGTTATTCAATTGTGTTGTAATAATTAATTAGCTAGAATAGTTAATTAGTTGTTTTGTAATAATTAGCTTAGCTTAGTGTAGCTTAACTTATTTATTCGGACCCTCCTGCGCGAGGGCATAATGTTGTAATAAGCGTGCATGTGTGTGTGCATGTCTTCCAACCCCACGTCTTTCTCCCTTTTATTTATCCGCTTTCGGTGGTTAGATTATGGATCATTTTCAATTAGCATACCTTATGCTTGCATGTTTGCATCATTCATTTGTCTTGCATGCACCGGGCTCAGTGCACCATTCAAACTGCATTGTATTTCAATACTTCTTTGAATACATGCATTTATATGCCATCTTAGATAGCCGAGCCTATTAATTGCATTATTACATGTGTTGCATTAGGCATCTTGTATAGTTAGGATTATGCATATTTCTACCTATCTTTTGTTTTGGCTCGGAGTACACTGTAAGTCTTTACGCTTTAGCATACTTGCATGAGTGTGAGTGTTGCCATGATAGCATGGTTGCCATGAGGCTATTTGCTTAAATGATTAACTGCATGAATGCCTGTGGATGAAGGCTTTATTGCTTGAATTGGAACAATTCGACGAATGTGAGTTTTAAGCCGACTTTGCGAAGTGGCAAATCATGTTTAAAGCCCACTTGAGGGTGGCAAATTCGCGCTTTAGTCCACTTGAGGGTGGCATTTTCAAACTATTTTCGAAAACAAACATGAGTTGTTTTGTTCCAATTCTTGCGATTTAGTCTATACTTACTTGTGTGCGTCACATAGTAAAGTTACCTAATAATTGGAATAAAAACACATGTGTTTATAAAACAACATATCATGCTTAGTAAAGGCCGATCTTTGATAGGGCGAGCGGGGGTGCTCATTTCAGGACCTTCCTCTCTCGTACCCAAGTTTCCAAGCCAAGGCAACTTTAGTGATGACGGACACGTGACCTTTGGCATGAGTCAGGGTTTCCTAAATTTTTCAAAAATGAAATATTTAGGTGGCAACTCTGTAATCTGGCAAAACAGTCCAATTTTGGCATTATTTGATTTAATATCTAATTTTTCAAAATAATTTGCCGGATTAGACTCTCTGGTGTTTATCAATCTCACATTGCACTTAAAAAAAATTGGATTCAGAACCGTGACAGGAGTCCGAACTGTAGGACCAATTCGAGCTCTCCGAAAGGGGGCGCGAATAAAGTCGAGTCCACAGGGCCATGAGACTAGACCTTTGAATGTCCTTTCTACCCAACCATTGAATCTGTGGGGAGGTTTAGTAGATGCCATGGGACAACAACTAATGTATACAATGAAAATACGGGCAACATCCTTTTTGGATCAAATGAATTCTCATCAACCAACTGTTGTAAGACAAACTAAAGAAAATGTAAATAGCCCTCAACAATGATTAACTCGAGATAAATAGCCTATGCAAAATAATGGACAAATCAATGGTCAAACTAGTAGTCACAACCATGAGAGGCCAGCACCTGTGCCTCAGTCATGGTATGAAACTCCTTCGAGACTAATGGCCACTCAGAATGTACCATTCTCTACCAGTGAAACCACACAATTTGGTGGATTTAGGCCAGCCTAGGGTAGTGGCATGAGGGCATTTCCAAATCCTTTGTTTGAAAACATGCCTGGCACAAAGAGTTTCACCAACCTTATGTTTGAGTTTGCACCCTGGGGGTTAGAAGTATTTCTTGTAGTTGGAAGAGAAGAAACACCCGCTTCTCCTCTTGTGGTACCTTTCGCAAGGTAGGCCTCAAAAGGCCAGCCATACCTTCAACAGCAGCCAATACAACAGGGACAGCCAACCCTGAATGTACCTATATATGGACCAAAAAGCCCACAAGCACATGGAGTTTCTCCAAACCCTGTGTTTATTCCTCTAGTAGTGGTTCAGCCAACACAAAATATGGTTCTTAGGGACCAGATTGTTGACATCATTAGAGAAATGTGTGGGCTTATGGCTTGGGGGATCCAAACTCCGGTGTACAAGAAACCTTACCCAGAAAAGGTAGACAGGGTACACGAATATCCAAGGAGGTTTAGAATACCAGACTTCGCCCTCTTTTATGGAAATGGAAATCAGTCAACTATAGAATACATTGCTAGGTTTACATGTGACGACCCCGCCTCGTATAATATTTTATATTTGGGGTAATTAAGGAGATTTGGAATTTAATTAGTCGTTATCCTAATTTAATTCGAGATTTATAAGAATTGTGGAATCTGATTCGTATATGATTTTATTAAAGAATTATTTTGAAATTAAAAATTAAGGGTCCAAATGGCTTAAGGAAGTGAAATTAAGAAGTTGAATCAATTTAATTTTAATTACGGACCCATTTGGGAGTTTAATTAAATATTCGATTAATTAGGTCCGAATTGAAGGTAATTAAGTTAATTAAATTATAAGGATTGAGAATTGTGATTATTACGAATTAAATTTATTTATGGGGTGTCCAATTTGTATATGTAATTTAATTGACGGAAATTTGGAGTCTGATCAGAAATTGAAGGCCTAAATGATTTGGAAAATCAAAATTAATGATGCCAATAAGCTTAATTTGATAGTTGGAGGTTTTTGAAAATTTGATTAAAAATCTGATTCAGAATGACAAAATTAAATAAAATTAATTAGACCTTAAGTGTAGTTAACTAGACTAATTAAATTATGTGAGATTTGTGATTAATTATGATTAATTAAATTATGATCAAGATTAATTAGTTTTAAGAGGAGATTAATTGAGCTAATTGAAATCAAAGATTAACCTCAATTAAGTATCCTAAGCAAGATTAATCAGTTAATGAAAGAATTAATACAATACCACATGGGCTCATGTAGCAAAGACAAGTGTCACACTAAATAAATAAATAAATAGAAGAAAAGATGAATCAATGAGGCCCTCAAATCGCTGGAATCAAAGTTAGGAAGAGAGAGAGAGAGCGCTTCATTATACACATTGTAGACAACCAGCCGGGGGAAAACCGTGAGAATAGAAGAAAAGGGAGAAAAAGAGGAAGAAAATGAAAGGCGGATAACTCAACCAAATTCTATCTTGAAGACTAATGGGTAGGAAATTTCATCTTCTTTCTAGTGTTGATTAAATAATCTAGATATAAATTGATTCAAGATAGATTTTGAGAGGATTAAAAAATGAAGATTTGAAGATCAATTATATAAATTGTTAAAATTTGGATTTGCATGTAAAATCAAGTTAGGTTGAAGTACATGAATCATGATTCCTTAAATTTGTTAAATTTGGGTTCAATTTCATATAAATAGAAGAAGCAAAATGATGCATAAATGGAGTTAGGTTCAAATTTATGAAAATTAATTATTTTGGATTGATGTTGTGATTTTGCATGAAATTAAGATTCAATGTTACATGCATGAATAAATTTTAAAAGCCTAATACTCTAATTATACATGCATCATGGATTTTGTAGAATTTGGATTAATTCAATCTCATATTTTGAAGAGAAAAAGGAAAAGCTTTAGAAAAATCAAATTTATGGAAATTTGGACTTAATCCTAATGCAAAAAAAAGTTTTGATTTCATAATGAAAACTAGGAATTTGTTTAATCCATGTATGTAATTGAATTTAAAAGTTTTATTCAATTTAAACACATTTTGGAACATCTATGATCATAAATTAAGTTTTTGATTCAAAATTGAGTTAATATGAATTTCTAAGAAATTGATTTGTGTAATTTATACTTAAGTTTGATTTTTGCTATTAATAATGAAATTGGGTTTTATTTTACATACATCATGGAGTTTTCAAGGATTTTGAAAGTTTAATTTATATGTTAAAATTTGTGGGCTTGATATAAAGAAAATAAATTAAATCTAAATTTGGACAATTAGAGCATGATTTTGAATAAATTAATTTGAATTAGAGGTATTCTCATGTTATACAATGTTTTTTTCATATTTTTGTACCAAAAACACAAGTTTTGAGGCTTTTAGCATCAAACTTGAAGCTCAAACACAATTCTGAAAATTCCAGAATTCATGTTGTCCGCTCGAGCGAGAGAATCTCCACTCAAGCGTGAAAATCGAGCTCCCAAATATTTTGCAAATTTACAGTCCGCTTGAGCGACCAAAGTGGCGCTCGAGCGGAGACCCTATTTTTCAGCAATTTTTGACTAACTCTTTTAAATGCATAATTGCATCCCCATGACATTCTAAGCATTCTTAGGCACCAATTGGACTCACATAGTCATGGAATAAACTGGAATCACATAGAGAGAGTTGAATTAAAATGAAATGAATATTGAATGGTGCTAAAGTTGTGTTTTGTTATGTGATTTGTTTAGGTGGACGTCCGAGGCCTTATATCGACTTAACCCACTGTGAGTAATAACCTTATAAAGATATGTTCAAATTATCTTTACTTTCGAAATGTCATTGCTTCAAAATGGATATATGATTGATGGAATAAATTCTTAAAATGATTTGATAATTGATAGCATGGCTTATTGAAACGTTATGTCCTTTAATGAATGAAGTTCTGTTTTGAAATGAAATTGTGGCATCCATTGAATATAAGCCCTTGCCTGGGGGTAATAGTACTACGGCTATAGGCCCTTGCCTGGGGGTAACAATACCGTGGCTATAGGCCCTTGCCTGGGGGTAATAGTACCATGGCTTTCGGATTGATTGAAATACGGTTCGTTATTACTTCATGAATGTACCACATAAATTGACATTGAAAGATCTTGATGATGAAGTTGGTGAATTAATGAAAATGCTATCGCATAATGGTTTTTATTATCACAAGGGATTGATGTGATGGCTAATCAAACTGTTTTGCCTATGGAAAAGGATTGTTTCGGAAAATGAAATGTATGTTTTCATAAGGGAACTAATATGGAAAATGTTTTGTTATAAAGTTTGATATAATATGGAAAATGCCTTAGTTTGAAAATGATTTAAGATTCATTTCTAAATTGTAAGACATGTTTTTGTACTATCGTCGAATTTCATTCATTTAACCTCTTTATTCTGTTATTACTCGCTGGGTTTTAGCTCACTATTTATATGTATATGTAGGTGAGCAAACTAAGCAACAAAGATAGAGGAAGCCTCGGAGTCTACCCGTGTTAGCCTTTTGCAGAGCTTCCGGAATGAAGCAAGTTAGGCTCGAATAGAGCCAAGAAAATCAACCCTTAGCTTTGTCAGAGCTTTGAATTTTGCTGAGTCTTAAATGTATATGTGTGTGAGATATATAAGATTTGTATATAAATTATTATTGTGTTTAAATGTTTCCATTATTTTAGTTATCATGTATGCACAAGCTCAATGGACATTGTTATTTTTATTTTGCTTCCGCTTTAGGCCCTGATTTGATTATAAATATTTTGAAATTTTGTCTTTGAGGCCGAAGGTAATCTTGGATTACTGGCCAGTTACGACCCTAAACCTATAAGGGTGGGTTTGGGTCGTGACATTACAGACCAATGTGGTGAGTTCACTAATAATGATTACATGAAACTAAGACTCTTTCCAAACTTTTTAACTGGAGCAGCCTTCGTATAGTACATAAACCTTACACTTGGCTCTATCCAAGCTTGGCAGCAAATGGAGAAAGTTTTTCATGCCCAATTTTTCCAAACATAACCTGAAGTTTCTATGGTAGACATGGCAAGATTAAGCCAAAGGCTTGATGAAAAGGCTGCTTAGTTTATTGCCAGATTTAAAGGGCACGAAGCAAATGCAGGGTCATGCTACCAGAGCCTGAATTTGTAAGATTGGCTCAAAATAGCTTAGAATTTAGGCTTCGAAAGAAGTTTGATTCAACTGAGTTTCGAGACTTAGTAGAGTTAACCTATAAAGTGTCTAGATATGAAACTTTACTCGAGGAAGAACAAGAGTGAAATAATGCATCATATAAGACCTACTATAGGGACCCTAATTATGAAATTGATACAACATAGATAGTAGGAAAAGAACCTATAACTTGTGAGGCATTAATTCAAAAAGACAGTACAATAGACCAGCAGTTTAAAAAGAAAGACCTGCATAGGAAGTATTCTTTTGACTAAACAAAAGTAGATGACATTTCTGATCATTTGCTTGCAGCAAATTTCTTAAAATTACTAAAGGGAGTTAAGATTCCTATCCTTGAAGAACTTAAAGGAAAACTATATTGTAAATGACACATTTCTTGGTTTCATTTAACTAAAAACTGTATTATTTTTCGAGACACAATCCAAGAACAGATTCGGAAAAGAAGGCTAAAGTTTCCAACCAAGTTTGAGAAAGCTATGTCAATGATTTCCAAAATTTATCCTTGAAAGAATTGGAGGAAAATACTATGCAGATATATATGGCTAGCCAGACTGCTTTCAGGAAGAACCCAAGAAGTTTACCAGCTGATGGACAAAGCTCTGCTGGCCTAAAAGGAGGATTTAGTGAAGAGATGTTGGATGATGACTCTCTCAAAACTGCTACAGTGCAGAGGATGTGTCCCAGGTGCAGGACATGTTACAAGTGGCTGAAAGGGCTCACAGTTGATGGGAAGCAGCATTACAAAGAGGTGCAGAGGGACCGAATAACCAGCACGCATAACGAGAGGTCATACCCAACTGGCTCTAGACTGTATTCATCCTTGGTAGCTGTAACAACCCTCATACTGTTTACTGATTAGGGACTGATTGATTACTGATAATCACCGATTACTGCTAAACGGAACTGATAATGACTGATAACTGAACTGATTAAAGTACTGAACTGACTGACTGAAATTGGAAACCGAATTGATAGAGTATATGTTAGTTAAATTGCATTCTATCTGTTTGCCTGTATGATTATCTGTTCATGCTTATATGTTTAAACTGCTAATTGAAGGCCTTATCGGCGGCCGAATTTAAAAAGAAAGACCTGCATAGGACGTATTCTTTTGACTAAACAAAAGTATATGACATTTCTGATCATTTGCTTGCAGCAAATTTCTTAAAATTACCAAAGGGAGTCAAGATTTCTATCCTTGAAGAACTTAAAGGAAAACTGTATTGTAAATGACACATTTCTTGGTTTCATTTAACTAAAAACTGTATTATTTTCCGAGACACAATCCAAGAACAGATTCGAAAAAAAAAGGCTAAAGTTTCCAACCAAGTTTGAGAAAGCTATGTCAATGATTTCCAAAATTTATCCTTGAAAGAATTGGAGGAAATTACTATGCAAATATATATGGCTAGCCAGACTACTTTCAGGAAGAACCCAAGAAGTTTACCAGCTGATGGACAAAGCTCTGCTGGCCTAAAAGGAGGATTTCGTGAAGAGATGTTGGATGATGACTCTCTCAAAACTGCTATAGTGCAGAGGATGTGTCCCAGGTGCAGGATATGTTACAAGTGGCTGAAAGGGCTCACAGTTGATGGGAAGCAGCATTACAAAGAGGTGCAGAGGGACCGAATAACCAGCACGCATAACGAGAGGTCATACCCAACTGGCTCTAGACAGTACTCATCCTTGGTAGCCCTATCAGATACCAGGATGCAATCGAAAGGAAAAGGCCTCTGTATGAAACTAGGCCACCCCATTATTACAGAGTAGACAACCAGCTTAAAAGGAAGCGTGGATTTAGTGCAAGACATGGGATCAGGACTGATAATTGGCCCCCGAGAACTGCTTCGAAAACTACTTGAAAATGTGGGACGACAGGTCTAGCAACCAGACCAATAGGCTCATAGGTCTCAGAAGTTCCAGATTGGTTTGTCATACAAAATAAACCTAAGGAAATGCCTACTCAAATAAAGGTTTTTAGAAACTAAGGAAGAATGATCAAACCTCCCTTGGTGGCTCCAAATAACAAGGTGTTATTAAAGAATCCAAAAACAAGGGAGCCAAATGTGGTTCCTATAATTTCTAGGTCTCAAAGGAGGAAGATCCAACGAAGATACACCCAATATCAGAGAGATCTGAAAGAAAGTGGAGAGAGCACTTCCATGGCACAAGCAAAAGACCAGATAGATGGAGGGCTAGGATTGAAGCCTGCTCCTAAGATCAAGAAGAGTGCCAGTATGGAGCAGTTGGCTAAAGTTCATGCTGAACTAAGAGCCAAAGAAAAATCCAGTTTAGCAGGCCTCGAGAAGGCTTTAAAGGAAAGTGATGATTAAACGAATAAAGGGATTGAGCTAGGCCTAGAGAGAACATTGGCTAAAAATGGAATGTTTAAGGCCTTCATGGCTGAGCAAACCTTTTTGGTTGACGAGCCAATGAAGGTAGATCACCAACAGGCTGCTTCAAAGGAATCTGCTAGCACAGAGGTACTAGAGTGCAGCATAGAAGATGCTTCCGAAATAAAAAAAACAAGCTAGTTTGGAAGAGAAACAAGTACAGACAGCAGTTCAGTTTGGCTCATTTCTTCCAGTGTCCGTAAACATGGTATATATACTGCCACAGGAGTTCCAAGCTGAAGAGAGAAACCAAAAAGGTTAGAAATATGACCCTATTCTGGTTTCTAGTAAAGATTCACAGGCCAACATGATTCAAGATGAGTCTGAAGTTGCCACACCAATGGAAACTAAAGAAGAAAGTGACGAAGTGGGTATTAATCTCTCGTATCCCTTCAAGTGCCCTACAACATTTATGACTTAGCACGTTAGGCCCTTGTATATCAAAGTTTACTTCGATGGGATACAAATGAACAGGGTGTTAGTCGACAATGGGACAACAGTGAACCTGCTTCCGAAGTCCTACTTGAAGAAATTGGAAAAAAAGAAACCCCAGATTAATCCCAACCAACACAATCATTATTGGTTTTGCTGGGGATAAGTAGATGGCTTAGGGCATTCTGCTCATCAACTTGAGTGTGGGAACCAGAGATTACATGACAGCATTCTTTGTTATAGACAGTAATGCCAAGTATAATGCTTTGCTTAGCAGGGATTGAATCCACACCAACAAATGTGTGTCTTCCTCTCTACATCAGAAAATAATGATAGCCCTACGCAATGGAGATACAAAGGAGATCAATGTAGACCCTCAACCATTTATCGCTTGTGTTGATTTTGCAGAGGCCAAGTTATACACTGAATAAGTGACACCACTCAGTGTACTGAGGAAACCTAATGGAACAACCAAAGTGGTGGTTGATGATGAAGTAGCACACTTGAAGCACTTAGTGCAGGAGAGTGCTGATGAAGAGTTCGTCACCAAAGATGACAATGATGCCTAGTTGTAGGCAAGAAAATAAGAACCAAGAAGCTAAACCCTTGGCCTTAGTCAAGTTTTCGGCATTGGACATAAAGTCAATAGTCTAGAAGGTTCAGGAACAAGAGAAGGAAGCCATGGTGTTTAGCTGTAGTCAAGAGCAACAAAAGGCCAGGCCTTTGGCCCTTAATAAGTACTGTGTATTGGACATCGATACAAAAGTCCAGGAAATACAGGAAGAAGAAGCGTTATGGACAGATTTTGTCTACGAGAAAGAAAGCAAAGATGTTGAACCAGAGAAGGTAGGAGCAGAACAAAATGAAGAAGTCGCTTTGAAGGTAGAAGAAGTCATAGGAGAAGCATCAGTAAGTGCTCAAGTACAAGACAACTTGGAAGAAGTTAATTTACGAAAAGGTTCTGCACAGCAACCCATTTATATCAGTGCTTGGTTAAGTCCTATTGACAGGAACCAGTTATTGGTAGTCCTAAAGCAATATAAGGATTGTTTTGCGTGGTCTTATAATGAAGCCTAACTTCAAGCCACATATGTAGAAACCAAAATGGATGAGCCCTAAAGTGGTTCATAAAGTGAAGGAGGAAACTCCTTAAAGCAGGCTTCATTAGAATAGCTAGGTATGTTGAATGGTTGTCTAACATTGTGCCTGTGGTTAAAAAGAACGGCAAGATGAGGGTATGCATCGATTTTAGATATCTGAATTTTGCAACTTCAAAAGATGAATACAACATGCCTAAGTTGATCTATTAGTGGACAGTTCAACAGGGCACAGGATTTTGTCTATAATGGATGGGCATTCTAGTTACAACCAGATCTGCATTGCAGAGGATGATGTCCACAAGACAGCATTCAGGTGTCCTGGGAATATTGGCACCTTCGAATGGGTGAAAATGCCATTTGGTCTAAAGAATGCTGGGGCAACATATCAGAGGGTAATGAATACTATCTTTTATGATCTTACTGGAGGATACCTAGAGTGTTACATTAATGATATTGTTGTAAAGTCTTAGTCTACGGAGGAACACTTGGTTCACTTGGTAGCAACTTTCGAAAGAATGAGAAAGTTCAAGTTGAAGCTTAATCCTCTCAAATGTGCTTTTGGTGTATCAGCTAGAAACTTCTTGGGGTATGTAGTGCACAAGA